AGGTGCTGCCATCTCAATTAGTACTTTCTAAAATTGCTCACACAGAGCACTAAATTTCCTACTCAAACAGAAATTTCGGATGTCCGCGTACACCAACGCTACCGTGTTGCCAGATCGAGTTGTATTACTAAGTTCGCTGGATTAAATAAATATTTTTCTATTAATAATTCGGTCGATGCAAACGTACCTATTCATTTTACAGAATATTTGAATTATTTAATTATTAAATGGAAGGTACATTCTGAATGATGCATGTGTTTTATCAATTAAAAAAGTTGAACAGATGTTTACCAAATATCAGTATCATGTTAATTGCATGGTGATTCGTTTTTGGTAGAAATTGGATCGTAGGACGATATTTAAGAAGGTTGGCAATTAAAAAAAAAACGGATTTTGAAATTAAAACAACAGGTATTTAGTAATGACATTTTTTCTGTTAAAAAATATAAATTTGTAAAAATCTGATTGGCTCAAAAACCATATTACCTTAGTCGGTATTTCATATTTTTTTTAACTAAAAAAAAAAAACTATTTCTATTATAAATAAATTTATTAAATATACCTTTTAAAAATTCTTATTTATCCTACAAAAAATAAATCATTGTTAAACATTTACTTAGTAAAAATAGTTATGGTTTTCCTAAGGAACAATTTTTTTCCATCAGCAGTAGTAGAACAGAAGTATTTAACATGTTTTTGTGCATTTAATAGTGCAAATTCTCGAGCTGAGTAAAAATACTTTACTTAAAAATTTTTAGCATCATCTACTAATCCATCCGGTGAAGTTCCTAAGAAACGATAACATTTTTCTTAAAAAATTAATAAACCACATTCAAAAACTGTATTCTTTGTAATAGAAGCATATGTTTCAATTGCAACAGTTTCGTTAAGTTTAACATCTGTATATGTAACGTGTGAAGGGTGGGTTAACTCACGGCACTTAGGCCTTACTAAACCCATTTTGCATCTTCCGAAATAGATCGGCACCTCCTAGCTCGTGAGCCAGCCTACAGATTTAATGTAGTTGACAATATTGCCAAGAGGTGCCTTTCTTGTATCGGCTGGTGTTAGCCAATTATCAACTAATACAAATCATTTAATAAATGTGAGCATCGATCACTTGTAGACGATATATTTGATGATATCATCTTTTTGTTTGCACCCTTTGCAGAGTGCGGATTCTGCCAGCCCCATGACATGGAAATACTTCCCTACTTGGCAGTGACCCGTCAGAATGCCTGTGAGCAGGCATCTAGTGATAGTCAAGTATTTGTTTGCTGTAGTGTTGTCAGGATAACATGAAAGCTACCTGCAGCTTCTTGTTTAATTCAATATTTTCTTGAACTTCACAAGGGAATATTCTTTAATTAGGTCTGTCACTACCGATTTTGTCAGGCCAATATTAGGGTCAGGTCCAAAAAGTATTTGGTTGGCTGCCTGCTTGGCTAGTGAATCAGCAAGACAATTACCTTTCAATGTGACGTGACCTTTGATCCATCTTAAGTTAAACACATTATTAATGGATACTTCGGCTAAAGCTTCATGACATTCTAGTACCAACCCTGAGTAAATTCGTGGTCTGTCCAGGGGAAGTACAGCATGTCTGCTATCTGTATAGATGGCATGTTCCTTCCAGTGATATTGTTTTTTGTGATTTATTTTGCTGCTATGAGAATTCCCATGAGCTCGGTTTGAACTACACTGGCATTACTGCTCACAGCCTATTTTATGTTTAAGTTTAAAGATGTGAAGTATATTCCACATCCTAAGCCTTGTTTTGTTTTAGAACCGTTGTAGGTATGAATCGTACCTGCCTCTTCCGACTCTTCGATTTGTTTTGTTATAACTTTAGTATTATTGTCACGCTTCGTATAAATTCACATTTTTCCAAATTTTAATTATTTATTTAAATAACACCCTGTACGTAAAAGTTTGTTTAATTATTTCGCGAATTGCTTTTAAGTTGCAATCATGTACAAAATTGATTATTTAATAATTATTAAATATTAGTTTAATAACAATAAACTATGCAGAAGTTATAAAGGTAACCTCAAAGTTTCCACAATAGAGGATCCTCTTTATCGGGTTCATCAGAGAGCCTCCTTGTAGGATATTCCCAGTAACGGTTCCTGATCACTAAGACTTCGACCAAAGGCTCTGGATCTCCATCGTAGAAAATTAAAAGTCCTTTTTTATTTTAAATCACGGTTTAACAAATTGTTGTTACATGTGTCGCAGATATTGCAGTTGGTAAGCTAAATTGTTTAAAAGATAGTGTTGGTCCATATTTGTGTATGTTCAGCTGTGAAGTATTTTGTAGAATTGTTTTGTTGCACAGAAATTGTTAGCCCTTAAGGTAATGGAAGAGGCATGATTTACATTTAATATTTCCGGGTAAAGCAGTCTAGTCCAAACAGTCAATCATTGTGGTTTTAGTTTGTACTACTGTTGCCTAGAACAACGTGTTATTCGGCTTATATCTTAAAACTCATAAATTGCCGAATATATCATATTTCCTAATAGAAATACTATTTGTTTTAAGAAAACATTGTGTTTTTTTCAGCCCTTTTACAGAGACGTGTTAGGTCCTAATGTCGAGAGTAGAACCCTGATTTAGTTAAGGGCTACGAAGCCAAGTTCAAGGCAATATGATTAAGGCTCTAGTGATATAATTATTGAATGGTCACCCTTAAATTCATTAATTGTGACATATTTTATTAAGAAACATGCAAAACGTGAGAATATTAAAAGAAGAAATACCCAATTTTAACACATTTTCTTGCAAAGTGTTATGTCCCTTGCTAATAGATGTAGTAGTCAGAAGATTTAACTTTTAAGTTTCTTTATTTGTGATTATTGATTTCACAAATCCACAATTGGAACATTTAAAGAATAATTTTGAATTTACTCCTATACTGAATTCTCTGACAAATGCTAAATAACCAGTTTTTGTTATTCAACATTTATGAATTTTGAGTGATCTTATATCACCAATGAAATGACGATTCGTCTATCAGAGATGAAAAATGGATACAACGTCATTGTATTGGCACTTTGCCCTACACAGGAATTTTCAATGAAAATAATCCACTCTAAATAATTTTAAAGGTGAGGCTTTCATGAAAAAATACAAGAACAAGTCGAAAATCATATAAAGGGACAATTCTTCTCGTGGTATACTCGTTTTAACTTTTACGGTCTCCTCCCCGGTTATGATTACTCTTCTTGTTTTTTTTTAATGAAACACCCTATATATTAGTAAGACAATAACTCAAAATCAATCCCATATAAATTAATTTTATTAAGTTAAATGTTTTGGCCTTAGGACATCATCAGGTCTAAAAATTAAGTGATAAGCGCTAACAAAACACTACTAGGACGTCCCCATAAAAAGGTTAAAAAAATACACGTGCATGATTAAAACCGAGCCCCAACAAGGGTAAGGTAAGAAATATCATATGTGGGACATGTTGATAAATGTGAGAATATGGCGATGAGTAGTGTTAGCCTATAAGTTTCTTTACGCAAATCTTTTTCAACTTGTACAATTTCTATCATATTTCCCACATATGGTATTTCTGCCTTTTTAATCATACACGTGTATTTTTTTTAAATATTTTATGGAGACGTCATTTTATATTGTAAGCGCTTATTACTTTATTTTTAGACCTGATGATGGCCTAATCTCGAAACCGGTTGTCATTTAATTTACTGAAATTAAATTACGTGGGATTGATTTTGAGTCATTTTTTTATCTTTAAGGTACATATTAGTTAGTTACTCTGAATACTATCACATTTTTCTACTCTTTTATACTATTCGATTTCAAAAATGTATAGGTACCTGAGGTGTACATTGAATCGTCTGGAAGTTGCATTTCTTGAGCTTTTGTTTACGTTCTTTCTTTCTTTCCCTTTCTGTCTATTTTTTTTCTTTCTCTTCTCACCTTTAAAATTATGGATAGTTTTCATTGAAATTATTTAATATTCATTTAATTATTAAATAGTACTCAACCATAGCGCGCGAACGTATCCTCCAGTCAGTTTTTTTTTTATTTCATTTTTTTGACTGCGTCCATTCGCCAAACCACATAGATTATATTGTTCTAATTTTATACCATATTTTAAGGATAATGCACCCTAAATAATTTTATTTCAGTAAAGTTCATAGTTGAGAATGATTGAGCGGACCAGTGGAAGACTTAACAAAAGCTCGCCAGGTCATATCCATCTCTTAGCTGGATCGCTGGGGCCATCCGCGCTCAACACCTCACCTCCCGCGGCTTACAACATAAACAAATAAAACATAATTATATTGCGAAGTTTGGCAACGTTCTTCGCATCGAATCATAAAGATCTCCCGCGTAATCTATTATTGTGCTAGCAGTCTCTTTTGGCGGCGATATAAACTAACGAAATATTATTCTATCACAGATAGAACCCTGTAACTTTAATAAATTGTATACTAAATTTGATTCGACAGGTAGAGCCATCTCTAGAGTCAGAAACGAATGAGGAGGTGGGTCCATATAAACCTTAATGAAGTGGAATTATTTTTATATATAAAAGTAGAACAAAATTTGTGCTCTGTCTGAAATCATTGATTCAGTACAAGATTATATAGACTCTGGTATCCATCTAATTATATTTAGCCAAAAAAAAATAAATGAATCGGTCATTTTGAAAAGGGGTCACATCCACTTTTTAAAATTTTACAGGAGAGATAAAAAACCTTTAATCTTTAATACTATTTGAAAATAAATTTTTGTAAGGTATTGTTTGCTTTAAACATGAACTTTTATTACCATGAATTATTAAAAAACATAATTTGTATTTTAAAAGAGGCTGAAAATTGACATTTTTTTAAAAAGAGATGACCCGTTTTCAAAATGAAGTATTTAAAATCAAAATAGAATATAAATATTGTTTATTTTAAACAACAAAGTGGTATAAAATACATTTTAATACAAAAAATAAGATCTTTAATTTTCCTCCGTTTCTTTAGCGGAGATAGTAGGCCAATTTGCAGATAGTGGTGTAAAATTCCTTGTATTTATCTGGAATATATTGCTGAAGCTTCTTTATATCCTCAATTTTCTTAACATTTATCGGAATTTTGCCTTGATAGACAGGAAAATTCTGAGGATCGGGCACCATTATTGTCGGAATGTTTCTTTGTAGAGTTTTTAAAAGAAGGAAACGCTCCCCAACAAAGCTGCCAATGTATTGTTTCGCAAAGATGACACCCAAATTTTCTGAGTTAAAGCTGAACTCGTAGAAGGAGTTGATAGTGAAATTAACCTTGTCTTCTTTTGGAACTTGTTTGCCAAAACATCGTGTAGACAACACTTTCTTCTTAAAGAAATCCGGCCAGCATTGTTTGAAACTAGCTACATCTACGTGAGTAACATGTTTAACGTCGAAATTATTGCTTATAGATGAAGAAACTATTAGGTCTTCATATTCTCCTACAGAGTTTGTTCACATGATTAAAATGTTCTTTTCCAGTAACTTTTGCGTTTTTTAATCGAAATTTGCTTATAACTGTTTGAATTTTTAATACCTTTCTTCCGTTTGGGAAGAGGAGAGATTGCCTCACTACTTTCACTACTAGATGGCATTTTGTCACGCAACACGTCTAAAATATCCATAATACCCAATAAAACGTTGGTGGTGGGGACAAAGCACGATTCATTTTGAGAAGGGGTTATCTCCTGGAGAGATAACCCGTTTTCAAAATGAACTGATTTTTGTGTGTTGTGAATAGGCGGTAAGAATTTTGAAAGATGATCCGTTTTCATCTTGAATTGATGCCTCTAGGCATGCTGAATATAAAATCGCCAAAAAGTGAAAATGTTAAAAAAGTGGATGTGACCACTTTTCAAAATGACCGATTCAAATGTATTTTTAATAAGGTAGCTTGATAAATATTAATGAAAAAAAAAAAATAATGAATATTTCTGTAGTAATAATTTGAATTCTTAAATTGCTTTCTAAGGCGACATTAATATATTCATTAAAAATGTTAATTTTATTTTTTTGTTATTTTACCATAAACAAATTTGTTCTGCGAGGCCTTTATTATTTAAAATGTTATAAAATATTTTTAATCTTATTTATTATTTTGGAGATTGGCATCTATAGTGTGTATTTCTTACTGAGAGGGATTCTAAAAAGGACTAATCTACTCCTTTTCTTTGGTTATAATTCAATGCCTGACGCGGTATTAGCCAAAGGAGTCGTTATTTTTTCGAAGTGAAACAGTCCCTCGTTATTATCTAAAATAAACAGGGTGTCCCGAAATTTGACGATCATATTTTAACAGCGTAAGCTAACATCCTAAATTAGAAATAAAAGTTTATATAAAAGTTGGTCTGAAATCGTTTCGTTTACGAGATACAGAGTGTTACAAGTGAAGTCCTGATGGCACATTTTTGTAATTATTTTTTAAAATTTCTTTAGTCACATGTTTTTCAAAGTAAAAAAAAAAAAAAATATAATTTCTGATTATGCAGGTACACCAATTATTTTTTTGCTTTTCTCTTGAAAATGGTGCGTCCTAGGGAGATGCAACAAAAGTAGCTTTGTTATAAAGAAAACATTGGTTTTCCAAATTTTATTGTCAAAAATTTTAAAAAGTGTCAACAAATAAAACTTAGGGCAATTTTACCCTAAGCTCCCCCTAATTTACCCACCTATGAAGATGATCAAAAACTGGGGTTTAGTCGTTTAAATAGAGCGTAAAAGGTTGGGATTTGTACCAAATTTCACTTAGTTATCTTTAAACGTTTAGAAAATATTTACAAAAGTGTGTCATTAGGACTTCACTTTTAACACCCTGTATCTCGGAAAAGAATCGTTTTCGGACCGTCTAATTTCGGGACATCCTGTACACTGTTAGATAAATACGGGACCCAGTACATTATCTTGTGGTACTCCTGCCTTGATTTCCTTTAATTCAGAATATGCGTCTTTCTCTTTAATTCTGAAACTCGTTTACAGCTTGTAGAACAATCTTTTGTCATACTTTATTAAAAGCTTGTGCTACGCCCGGAAAAACTGCACAGCAAACTTTGTTTTCTTCTAACGATTTTTCAGTAGTGTCTGTTTTTTTGCATTTGATCTATTGTAGAATAGCTTTCTCTAAAGCCGAATTTATGAAAAGAAATTAAGGTATTATTGGTTTAAATCTTTTAAGGAATAATTTTTTAAATAATTTGATATTACGGGAAGTAATGATTTATGATTATACTTCGTTGGTTGATTTGCTTGATTTTGGAATCGTCATGACTTCTGCTATTTTCCAGATCTTAGGTAGATACCTTAATCTAAATATTACACTAATTAGATGAGTTATTTTTACAAATTTTTGAAGGGTTTTAAAATTTTACCGGTTATAATATTTTGGTATTGTAAAACGGACTGGGCGCAGGTTTCTTTGTGCAGAAGACTTCTTGTGTAATCTGTTCATGATATAAATCCCCCTGATTAAATTGTAAAAAAAAAACCTAGTTGTAATGTTGGATAACTACTAGATTCCAAAATATAATTGCACATAGTGTAATAAAGTCAATTTTTCCTTAATCAGTTTTATTCTAATTTTTCATTTTTAATAGATATTAAACGGGCTAGAACTGCTTGTCCTAGGCCAATATCATTTTGAGTAACAGCTGCGCACCGACGATGGACATATCAATGCGCGGTGGTACTGGTCGTTGGTGGGAATTTCTCTCGCGTTCGTCGCGAATTAAAAGGATTTGGAGAGGACTTGATTTCAAACAGTTTAAAGTAGAAGCCTTATTTTCAGTTATGTCCGCCGTTGATAGATTTTTCGTATCGTGTTTATTATTCCGATAGGTAAGAAACCTTGTTTCAATTTTTATAGAATAAACGTTTTATATTTAGGCCGCATTTAGTTTAATTTAAAAATTGATTTACCTTTTGAAAATAGGAACGTTTAATTCGTTATTGAGTTAAAATATATAGTAAGATTTCATTAATAAATATTAGAATTTAGTGCTTTGCAAATAGAATACCGTTTTTAAAGATATTGTTGTGAAAAAGATTTAAGGAATGTATCTTTTCTTTTTGTTAGTCTCAGATCGGTAATTTAATTTGATTTAAATAATAAAAATTAGTAGTTAGTTCTTTAAAAAAATAGAATATCGTTTCTTCAAAGAGAATTAAATTTAATTTAAATAATAAATGTTAGGATTTAGTTCATTAAAATTGTAATACCGTTAATTTAGAAATTTTGTAGTTAGGCTGACCTAAGAAATTAAACTTTTCTTTCTGGTAGGTTAAATCGGGAATTAAATTTGATTTTATTGATAAATACTTTTGTTTAGTGAGTGCCGCGTTATAAATAAGTTGGGAATATTTATTTTATTTTTTACGAGCGAATCGCAAATTTAAGAAATCTAAAATAGCTTTATTACCCTGTCCGAACAAGGTCGTGATGTCGATCAGCTCATTCTGGGATAATAGGCTATCCCGGGTATAAGTTTATTTTTTTCCCTTTCCGAATATTTAGTTCAAGTAGTTCTTTCACGATTCTGTCTTCTCGCACTCTCTGCGACCGTATAGATAATTTTTCCTTATCGAAATAATAAAATACATTTTAGTTTAATTCCCGCTGCGACAGTTTAATAGTTAATTTTTGCTACGACCGCTATTAGAACTTTCCCTTACCGAACTGGAAAATTATGTTTTAGTTTAATTACTGACTAAGTAGTCAAGTTAATTTTTCCTGCGACCGAAGTACTCATTTTATTTTAATTCAATTTTGACATCTGATTGAGACTAGTCGGGATTGAATACCGTCCGTTTCTTTTTTTTTGTTCAGGGTTTATATTGACTATTATCGCAACGAGGGTGGGCGTTGAAATATATATTTATTTTTATTTTTAATTTGTTAATAGTTATTCACAATATGTGTCATTCTTATCTGGCCGTATTACTAAAGAAGTTCTAATACCTTTCTTTACTTCCTCCTTAATTTTTAGCTAGTGAAATATTCTTTATAAGCGCAAGGACAATTAAAGCCCGTCACTTGTGGCTACCGATTACCTGGGTCTACGTAATCTTTGACTTCTGGAATTTTTCATCTCCATCTGTAGCTACCCAGGTACTTTTGACGCCGCTTCAAGAGTCTGTGGAGTAAACAACAAGGCTAATTTGGCACCCAAGAGCCGCTCGTAATCAGCGCCATTTGTAAGGAAACGTTTTCTCTGTGGCGAGAAAACCCCTTATAATAGAGTAGTAGTTGTTTTATGAATGACTTATTTTTTTTTATAATCATTTTAATATAAATAATAGATATCAACATTTGAACAATCTAATATAAACAAAGTTTTATTGGCCACGAGCTCTTAGACTATAAATGCAAATTGAAAGTAATATTTTGGAAGGTTTAAAGAGAAGCTGAGAAATTCTGCGTGTCTGCGTAAGACCGCATTTGGTTTTTAAATTTCGAACCAAACCAGACGGCAGCTCTGAGTTTTGCTCAAAACTTCATAAGTTTCGCCGTAATTAACTTATGAATTATTTATAAAACTCGCCAAGAATTTTACATTTTAATTATTTCACTTGATCATGAATAACTTACAATGGCTGTCTGTGTACCACTCATATTTGTTTAAACTTTTTAAAGGTTATTTTTAAAGAAAGGTAGTCTTAGTTAATAACAGTAAATACAAAAAATAGCACTTTACGTCATTACTTTACTTTTTAATACCCTAGATTAGAATATATTTAATTAGGACTCTGGGCCGTGTGGCCTCCCCCACCTTGATCTTTTCAGATCTATTTTGGATATCCTTTACTCGTTGTTTAGAGTACCTTGTCTAATTCGGTCTTTTGTAGTGGGCTCAATAGACTGGGAAGTAGTTCTCCGGTATAGCTAGTTGCCCTTGGTTTTTTTTTTCCAAGTGTAAGGAATTTCACAGCGGGTTGCAACAACGATCGTTAAATATCTAATGATTCGTTAAACCCAAATCTTTTACTAAAGGTGTAGTACGGGTTGCATTCTTCTGTTAATTTTTAACGACGACGTGAACTGGCAACGTCGCTTCCTCTGTTAGCTCTGCTCCTGTGCTCTGTTCGTCATTTACTCTGACAGATAAAACTTTGATTAATATTTTAGAATTTTTCATTTATTGTTTTCAATTTTCCAGCCAATTTATGTGAGAGTCGAGAGGTACTTTGAATATAATATATTCAAAGTACCTCTCGACTCTCACATATATATTATATATTATAAAAGTTCAATTTGAGTTCGTTTAGTTGAAGTATTATAATGGTTGACAAAAAAAATCGCAAGCAATTTACTGCTACTGATAGAAGAAAAACCACTTGGTAAGTAAATTAATAATAAGTACATAAAATTCCTTCAAAAACATTTACTTTATTACATACTTAATTTGTATTTTCAACTACATTTTTGGTGTTAAAATTTTAGGTAATTAAA